AGACGAGCCATCAGCTCGCCGACATGGTCCCATAAGGGGCAGACCCGGGGGCAATGGTAGAAGGTGTGCGAAGCCGTTTCTTCTAAACCAAGGCCATACTGTTCACAGTCTGGCAGATCCACCAAGCCCCATATGAAAGCCTTGTCGTTGAGAAGCAGCCGATTCCGAGCCAATCGCCAGGTAAGCGAAAACTCAGAGTTACTGAGGTAATCCGCCGCTGGCGTCCAAGACCAGTAGGAGCGAAACTCATCCTCCGACAAGCAGAGCGTATCACGTAGGGGATCTTTCGCGGGCTGCTCCACTAACTCCCGATAGAAGACCTTCCTAGGCTGTGAAAGATCACTGGACCGCGGAACAGCCAACCAGGCCGACCGACACTCACGAAGGAAATCCGATTGATCCCGGGGTTTACGACGGCGCTCAACCCGCAAGATGGTGGGGGGTGATAGTAAGGCAACGGAACGCGTCCCTAACAATCCCCGCCAAAATCGGATCTCCTCCTGTCAACGCGCGGCGTAGGAAGCTTAGCTCCTGAAGTGACACGGTGCATAAAAATAGATTTAAAAAAAAAAAAACTTTGATCCTAGCCCCCGGGACGAGCAGCCTGGATTTGGACGAAAAAAGGGGCTAACAATATGTAAAACGATTTTTTCAAGTACTCCCTGGCTAGAGGGAGTAGAAAACCGTAGATATTAAATTAATCCCAATGTTGTTCGATGTTTGAAAAAAGCGCTGCTTAATCCGATGCTCACGAGATACGGTTTGGACTCAACAATATTGGACTAGTCGTCCGGTTTCTCGCATGTTGCTTGACTTAAATCTGCGAGATCAGGGTTTGTGAAAGGTCAAGGTCGTTTATCTAAGGAGCGGCTAATGGCGACCGCAATAACTTTTTCATAGTAACGATCATAAAGACATGATTAAGAAATTTGTTGCTTGATGAGAATTTGGAATCATACGTGTTGCTCTCCATTGAAAATTAATTAAATTGAATGCAGATTGGCAGAAGCGAACAATCATCTAAACTCAAACTGCTCTCAATATAGCGAACTGACTGCAATGCTCTAAGGTGCTTTTGGGCTATAATGTGTAAATTATGCAGTAAACGATTTTAAAATATCAACCAGTTACTTTAAAATCAGTTAATTAAAAAAAATCAATTATAACTTTCTATATTTACATTTGCTATCTACTAAATGTGAACTGTAATTACTAAGAAACACACTTTTTTTTTCCAAAACATTTTGAATTGTAGCCCTTTTTTCGATATGTATTTTTTTAACAATTTAATTTTTCCTTATGAAAATTAAGTGATGGTATTATAGTTGGACGCCTTTGTCTCCTGGTAACCAATATTTTAAAACCCAGTTCGCCACTATTGCAGATTAAAACCTTTAAAATTCTTAAAACTCACAATCTTATTACCACTTAAACGACCGTGGTGACACCGGTTAATATTTATGTAAGGGAGATAAATCGTCAGTGTCTTTAATAGGAGTAGCTTCCCTTGGACTATTAATTTCACTTTATTGAAGCTGAGATGCGATTTTAGAAAGAATCCTAATAAATATTTACCAATCAATAAACACACGCCAAACTCATTTTATTATATCACCAACTTTTATAAAATCCATAAATAAAGAATCTAAGATCGGTCTAGTGAATTTTAGGTACTTTGGCTTTATAGTCTTACTTATAAAGACACTTGTTGAGAAAATTATCAATAAATTTAAAATTTACAATAGTTACCGCTATTACTTTCTGATAATATTGTGTATGAACATCCCTATTTACAAAAACCAGCCCGTTTATACACATAAATATAAATCAAAATTCTTTTAAAAATACCTGAGTTCGCCAAATTTTAGAGTCTTTGCATTTTAGTGAATGTAGTTTTAATTTAATAATACCATCATGTGACGGCTACAAATTAATACCGAATTTTAAAAGAAAAGTTTCTAAAATATTCTAATTTATCTTTTCTTTTAAGATGGAAACACTTCTTGTAGAAATTTATTATTCATCGAAAAAGGTTTTCTTCATAGAACAATAGTGTCTATAATATATTTTATTCATAAAAGGAATTAAAAGCTTTTCTAATTAAATAATGTCTTAATTTTATTGCATTTTTTATTTTACAATTCAGAGTAGAATTTTTGTAACTGGTGGTCCTGTTTGACCAAACATTTGGTCATTAGAAAGAAACAGTTCAAAAATAATTTCATTCATTTGTGAATGTCCTGAAACTTTCCTGAATTCTGACAGTTATCTGATTTTTTGAAAGGATTTCAAATTTCATGTTGACACTTAAAAAAAAAAAAATTAACCAACATTTCGAAGTTTCTAAGAAGGATTAAAAAATAATTTTTCATTAAATAATCCTTTAGCTTTTTCTTTTAATAATAACACAAATATTTCTTCGGTTCTTTTGATTGCAATCTGATCCTCTGTTGGCGGAGATTTCTTTTTGCTAGACATACTGCTGCCGTATGCGATAGGCAACAATAAACTACAGAAGAACTCAAAACTGATCGCTACATTTAAGTATTGCATTAATATTTAAGCTTACCTTTTAAAAATTCAACGATAATTATTTTGCCACCAATTAATTTAAAGGCAATTTGATGTACATAGGTCCTTACTTTCCATACAAACAATTATTTTTATTTCATGGGTGACATTCGTTGGATTTCGTAATTAATTTCAATTATTCCCAAATTTATTTCCAAGTTATAAAAATTGTTATCATATACAATAAAATTTGTCGCAAAAACTCACTTAAAAAATCGCAGTAATGAAAACTTGGGAATTCAAAATTTCAGAATAGTGGGTTCGGATCCGACCCAGAATGTTTTTAATTTGTTCATGGAGTCGGCCTGATTCCAAAATGGTATGATATGTTGGGCTACGGCCTCTAAAAGTAATGTTGAAAAAGTGTGACACTCTGATATAGTGACATTCGCATATATTTATACTGAGGACATATCAATGGCGAATTAACCTTCTTATAAGGTCAACGGCCATCTAGCACAATAGTACAGACTGGGCTCCATGTGCAGCCAATGTGGTGATGACATGGCATCACTGGGCGGAGGGATTCCCAAACTGAAGTCAGTGGCCAGGGCGGTGGGTTTCCCAATAGAATCAACAGCCACGTGTCGATGACCAAGGCGAGCCTTCAAGTTGGAGGACATCGGTTGTGGTTTGACATGGAGAGAGATGGAAACTTTCATGTCAACTCGGCTAAGACTCACTCCGCATGAATTAATAACTCTCTGGCTTTCAACCCAGATACGCGGACAGATCTGTTCAGGTTCTCAGCGACCTTAAGACCACGCCTAGTCATGGGACTAAGGATGATAAGCTTAATTTTAAGAATATTTTGAAGAAACCTCTATACCCTTTATTTTTACTATTTATCTTATTCTGATTATTGTCCTCATCTTTGTCGCCATATTTATTACAACGTTTCGACCGTTGTACACTCCGGCCTTCTTCAGGTAGTTTCAGTTTGACATTTCAACTACCTGAAGGAGGCCGGAGCGTACAACGGCCGAAACATTTTAATAAATATGGCGACAAAGACGAGGACAATAGTCCGAATAATGTAAACAGTGTGTACATAATACATCATCTCAGAAATATAGACAGATACTGAAGGGCCGAAACGTTGTAATAAATATGGCGACAAAGACGAGGACAATAGTCCGAATAATGTAAATAGTGTACATAATACATCATCTCAGAAATATAGACAGATATTTTATTTTTACACGGTCTTTTAATGGACCTATTATATCTATAAAAAAAATTATAGCACTGTAGAATTATAAGCAAATATATCATTTAATCCATGAAAAATAAAAGAAGCGAAAAATGAAGCCCAACCCTTAAAATAAAAATACGTCAAAAGAAAATCCAACAGCATGTTTTAAAATCAACCAACGTAACTATCCGATAAGTGAATGACATCCATTTCTGTCGATCCTGTTTTCTATATGAACAAAGGAAGTTTATAAAATAGATCGGACAAACCAAATTTGATTCAGTCGCAACAACTTCTCACAACTATTCAGTAAACAATTCTTGTCAGTGAGGTGTTATCATCAGATAATAATCCAAGTCATTGCAAAAGCTGACAGAGACTCGTTTCACTACACAAAAACAAAAAGTACAGATATTATATACAAAGTAAGTAAATAATTTACTCATTTGAACATGAACCACAGGTTGAATTACAAATATCAACAATTGTTTTAACATGTTTTTAAACAAAAAAGAAGTATTTGGGGTTCTGAAGAATTATTTTATTACCGTTTCTCTCTCTCTCTCTCTCTCTCTCTCTAATATCTCTCTCTATCTTACTCAGTATGTTCATTATCTAACTAATATCTATCTATCTATATATCTATCTCACTTTATTTTTGATCTTACCCAGTATGTTCATTATCTATCTATCTATCTATCTATCTCGCTTTATTTTTGATCTTACTCTCACGTTATTTTTGATCTTACTTTGATCTTACCCGTTCATTATCTATCTATCTATCTGTCTATCTATCTATTTCACTTTATTTTTTATCTTACTCAGTATGTTCATTATCTATCTATCTATCTATCTATCTATCTATCTATCTATCTATCTATCTCACTTTATTTTTGATCTTACCCAGTATGTTCATTATCTATCTATCTATCTATCTATCTATCTCGCTTTATTTTTGATCTTACTCTCACGTTATTTTTGATCTTACTTTGATCTTACCCGTTCATTATCTATCTATCTATCTGTCTATCTATCTATTTCACTTTATTTTTTATCTTACTCAGTATGTTCATTATCTATCTATCTATCTATCTATCTATCTATCTATATCTATCTATCTATCTTTATTTTTGATCTTACCCAGTATGTTCATTATCTATCTATCTATCTATCTATCTATCTCCTTTATTTTTGATCTTACTCTCAATGTTATTTTTGATCTTACTTTGATCTT